TGCAAATATATTTGACCTCTCTGAAATTTCCACTAAATACATTTTGTACACAACCATTCGCTTACTATAACCTGTAATATCAATCATTGACGTCAAATTTCCTGTCTACATGTTCATATTGCTAGTGTGACGCAAACTGTTGCACAAACGATTCAAAGTACAGAGCGATCTCCCCCGATCTAATATAAACGACTAATATAAAAATAGTTTCGTTTAAATATACTATGTAAACTCGTTATCAAATATAAAATTTATATTTTAAATGCAACGACAATAATCCATAATGAAGAAGTAGACTAGAGAGAAACATGGTAGAATTATTACGTTAGATGAAGATAAGAAGTGTCGAGAAGAGTTTTTATGAAGCACTTTTACAGAATCTTGTCTTATTAACTATAGGTTGATCTAAGACTAAACCTCTATACTTGATAACTACGATTATTGATATGCTATTGGTGACGTGAAACAAAAGTACGATTAAATATTAACAAAAGTAAATGGAATGTTGGTGTGTATATATGCGATGAAAATATTCGATTGCCTACAGAATTAACACTTTTTGGTATTCCTTTTATTCTCATTACTAATAGTCTAAGAGCTAGCAACGTTTTCGAGAGAGAATTTTAAGAAAGCTGGCTCTTTAATATATCTTTTGCTATGCTCTCTGGTACAGCGTGCGGGCCGTCTGGCTGCCGGTAGACGTTGCGTTCACTACTGCGCATTGTGCTATTGAAGGAAAGAACATCGAGTTTGTATGGTTTATGCACATAAGTTCGTCCTTGTTTAGGAGATGGAAGTAATACGCTTGCTCGAAAATGCTATTTTCCTACTGATCGAATTAGCGTCGAGGTCGCTTATCGATAGTTTTAGTTTTATTCAAAGATATGGATGTGGTTATCCCCTTTATATCTTTGGATTTATTTGAACGCTTTAAACCTCAATTTCAAACGTATGATTTGAAACTGTCTAATCAAAGTGCTCACAGCATCGAGCAAGCGCAGAAAACTTTTAACTTAAGGATAGACTTACGTGGGAAATGCATTTATATTATACCGTGCTGGCAACTCTTACTTTTGGGTCGGTATTTACATGTGTGGAAAGAATTCGCATAGGAATCTTATTAGGTCGGAGTGAGAGAAATGCGACGGTGTGCTGTTGCGGCGTTGCCACATTGCTCCGGTACGCCTTTCCCTATCAAGTAAGGTAAAATCACGATCGTAGACGGCTTATTTTTTTTTTCGAACATTAATAAGTAGATAAAATTATTAGATATGTTTCTGAGCACCTGAAATGGAATTATAAGGATATCGTTAGGGTGTCCATTTTTTTATAACCAGAAAATGTCAGGAATCGCGATAATTTAAAAACTCAACTTTTTAACACATAACACGCGATAACTCAAGAACCACTTTAGATATTGAAATTATTTTTTTTTATTTTGATGTTCGGATCTTTTACAAGATGTTTAAATATGAAAAATTCGATACGCTTGTTTTTTTTTTTCATTCAAAAATTTAATAAAACCCACCTATGTACTTTTAGTGCATATCAATTTTCAGCAATCGTATAACTTTTTTATTTATAGATTTTAACATACTGTCTGCGAAGAAAATATAGCAGAAATATTAAGAAAACTTTTGAAAAAACTACAATCATTTCTAATGGATTTCGAGATATAGATTTTTGAATTCAGAGTTCTAATAGCGCGACCACTGTCGAACACCAACTCAATTCTACTTATTTTTACCAAAAGTGCAAGTGTTTCTAACTTGCACTTAAAATTTTTCAAGCCATAATTACACTAACATAACGACTCGTTAATAGATAAACAAATAAAGTATCATGAGACGTAATTAAATCGTGAAGCTGAACGCATGATGTACACCCTTTCCTAGAATTTTAAGTACTGATTGAGTCGACCGCCACCGAATCTGCTATATCCCCTTCCATGTCTCTTAGCAATGTGTACAGTTTCTCGGTTTATTTTATACGTTTGGCAACATTTTTACTGTTCTCTCTTTGTTCAGTACATTATTAACGCATTGTACTCTTCTTACATACGGAAATCTCGACCCAAAACTAACCTTTGCCGGCCCTTAGTATATCTATCCTTCAACATTGGGACAACAATTTATGCGATATCGGTAGTATATTCTTTTATATGTATATGGGATTAACCTACTACTTGTCTCTTTTTAACCTGTTTAATTTTACCATTAGATTATCTTCATCATTATCTCAAACGCTAAAATCAAGGATTTAGGATCACCAGGGATGTATAAAGAGTAAAAAACACATATTTAAAAAAAATTGCAACGGATTAAAAAACAATACAGTGGGTGTATAAATATCAGTTTGTCTCTCTGTATTTACGCCTTTTGAATGTAAAAAAAACAGTATTTTTTTTATAAAAACTATCACTGTAAAGTACTTCAGCATTAGACATAGTAAAATCGAACATGAAATGATATATCTCCGACTACAGTTATGTCGATGGCGATCATAGGGCTGCAGCATAGTTAAGATCGAACTACAAGTTCCCTTGTTTTGCTGTTTAAAGCGTTAATATCCTTAGGCAAAAGAAGTATTTCCATAACTATGTATAAATGCTCGACTTCTAAAACGGATGGAGTGCAAAGATGAGCACCTTACAAACAAGTTACATTTACATAAAACAGTCGGAGAGCATACAGTAGGATATTAAAAATGTTAGATATATTAATATAAGAGATAAAATTTGTATTTACTAATCGAGACATGACTGTGGGTAAGTAATGTCTATATCTTTCCAGTGGGTTTATTTCAGCTGGACCTTCTAGAAACATCAACACTAAAATGAACACTTAAAAATTACAACGAGAAGAAAAAAGAATGAAATGTTAACTATTTGTTCTAGTAGTGACATTTACAGAAGATTCAGCTGACATGAATATGGGTCTTTTACCACCATACAGTTTAAATGCTTGAGATTTTGAGAGATATTAATAAGTGTGCAGTCGGCTGAGAAAGTCTCGGCATATCTTTAATGCTTAAACCTACTCCTTGTCCTCTTATTACTTTTGATACTTTTTTCTATTTAATAATATATAGGCGCAATTCATGGTTTTTGTAGGAAACTGACTGCTCTACAAAAAAGGATTCTTATGATTAGTCGATTAAATTAACCGTTTAAAAGATATTCATCGTCAAACTTCAATGTACAATAATTTTAACAGTTTTTGATTAGGGCTCGAACACACTGACGACCAGGTCGCACCGGCCAGGCCGCTGCTACCTCTAAAACCATTAAATCAAATGATACCGCGCACACTAACGTCCTGGCCGTCCGTTGGTCGTTGCGACCAGTAGACTGCACTAAAATATTATAATTTTCTGCCGCTTGTTGCCGGTTTTCTTCCAAATTAATAATTTTTCAGATGAAATCCCTCAAATTCAACGCGCAATATTTTATTATATTTAAGATATAGTGTTTTAGTGTAGTTTTTGCACACGTGCAGAAAATCCAAAGAAATAATATACAGACTGGATCAAAGGGAAACTTAAATCTAGTCCCTTTTTTTTATCAAGGGTCGATTCTAGTAAAAATTCAAAATATTTGTATATGACATACTCTATTTATGGTTGGTATGATACCTGTTATTATACCTTCGAGTTTCGATGTTAAAAAATAAAAAAATCATATTTAAAGTTTTTCTACAACCACTTGTATTGTATTGTAGTCATGTACAAGGAGGACAACTGTATTTTAAATATTATATTTAATTTAACGTTTTTCAAACAGGATTCAATAGACTATATTTCTACTAGGTACATTATTTAAAAAAAAATTAAGAGTAAAAGTAACTTAAACATTCATAAAAATAGAAGTATTTACTGTTGTAGATTCTCAGTAACAATAAAAAAGAGGAATTTACATTGTAAACATTGAAATAACTGGAAGCTAAATTTTCTACCTGCTTATGTGCCTGACGACCTTTTTTTACGATGGCCCTAATATGTTTACTTCTAAAGTCGATAAGAGCCATCAGCAGAAGTCCATATCAGTAGAAAAAAGAAACAGAATATCTCCCTTTTTGTCGGTCGCGCGTACACAATGCTTTTTGTTCGGCCTATTTGTTCTGCTTGTTCGTGCGCGCTCGGTTCGTTCGGGCTAAAATGCGAAAGTCTGGACGCACCTTTAGGAACAATACTGTTTTTGTCCTTTATTGATATAATGCTGAAAATCTCACGAGTTACATGTCTCACTCTACACATATTAAATTACATAGACGTAGGATGTAGAATATTCTGTTATGAAACGACTGATGGAACAGCAGGCATCACGGATTTGAAAAACATGGAAATAACGATGTTATCGTGTAGTCGGGGTTGGAGATTTTACTTACTCCATTTACCACACCAGTATTTATTAACGAAAAATCCAAGAATATTTTAAATGCATTATTTAATATTAGAACATTTAATAAGCTCATGAATAACAACTTCGCTTTTTAGTTAATTCGGATATTTTAACATTTCTGAAACTTAATTCTCTCTGAAACAATATTTTCTAATTGGTAAAACGTAAAAAAACGTTAGATCTGACAACTCTGTTGAAACTGGTTGTTCATCTGGCCGCAGCTATAAACGCAATACATCCTGGTCATACATAGACCTGGTCGTCAGTGAGTTAGAGCCCTTAATAATTCGAACAATTTCAATTTGAATGAGTTTCAGGAAAATTTTTACAAATTTTTGTCGTGAAAGTAACTACTATAGAAGTTCTCTGTTCGAAAATTTATTTCAAATTTATTATTCTTATAAATTTGTCACAAAAACTTTATTTACTAGAAATTTAATGAATCACTGACTCTAAGTTAGAAAAAATGCCATAATTATATTTTTCAATGCACCCAAACATACTTAGGACTAAATAGAAAAACTAGAAGAAAAGTTTAAAACATTTCTTTGTTCATAGAAACTGAAAATTATTAATCAAAAACTGTTAAAATTACTGTGCATTAAAGTTTGACGATGAATATCTTTTAAACGGTTAATTTAAGCGACTAATCATAAGAAACCATTTTTGTAGAGCAGTGAATTTCCTACCCAAACCAAACCAAACCATGAGTTGAGAATATCATAATGATTTTTTGTTAACGAAGTCTGCCTTAAAATAATCAAACAATATTTAATAGCATAGATAATAGATAAATGTAGTACAATTTCTGCAAAAATGACTTTGTTGAATTAGCGTGCCGAGACTTCTCACGTTTAAATAGCATTTATCTCTCAGGAAAGTGTTTCATCATGGTAGGTGCAATACCCAACTATATACGTATTGTACAAGAAGTCTAAACAACAAACGGAATAAAAATGTCTAAATATTGTCCGCAAGTGGGCACTTATCTTTTAAAGGACAGCAAAGAAACTCGCTCGCGTCTTCTCTGATGACGATTGCTTCTAAACCAGCGTTGCCAGAGTTCTGTATAGGTGTCACAGTGAAAGTCCGCATCATATTGAACTTGTTTTAGAGAGATATTGGTTAAAAATTACTGAATTCATTTTAATTTTCATCTAGATGGTTGAAAATTAGTACACTTGTGTAAAATTAAAAAGAAATAACTGTTTCAAATGAAACATTCTACCAATAAACCCGTGTTTTAGCCATTTATTTTTTTAAATGTCAAATTTGACAGACACCCGACAGCAAGAGCGTAAATATTTATATTATATTTAATTATTTTTTAGTTAATTTATTTTAAAACAAAAACTAAATAAATAAAAAGAATCCTATATTATGTGGACTTTTTCAGCGACACTGTATATCAGATACTACTAGAATATCAGTAAAAACCGAGAGTAAGAAAATTCAAATTTCCCGGCTTAAAGAACGTTTATTTTTGCTACGAACTTACTAATTATTATTAATAGAATAAATTTCATTTATGATTTTAAGTATATAAGAGAAAAAGTAATTTATTTTTTATTGCCTAATTCATTTTGATTTGTAGTCATCGTAAAAATGCAATTACTAGATATTAATCTAAAACATTCTAATAAATCTAATAAGATTATTACAATAAATTGTACTAGCTCTGACAACGCTGTTCTAAACGAACGTTTCGTTTGTTTTTATCACCCTTTGCATCTTTCTGTTTTCGATCGTTCACTTTGGTTAAAGGGGGCGCCATTTTTCTGGGAACTAAAGGGCGCTTGGTCTCGCAGTGACTCCATACGTCAATTTTGTGTCACAGCTTGGGATATACAAAAAAAGAATATTTATATAAAGAACAAAATATCTTTCACTATCCAAAAAAATTATTTATTAAGTTTTTATTTTTTTTAATACATGTAAATATTAAATAATGTACCAAAAATTGAAAACTATAGTTGTAGTATATTTTTATTGATAAAATTTTAATTTGACAAAAGAATTAATTGTAACTTACTAAATAATTACAATAATTATAATTTGGAAGACTTTGACAAATACTTGTTCTGGCCAATATTGTCCTGTATATAATTATTCTTTCCTTGTCCATAAATTTACTTTTAAAAAATGTATTTTTAACCATGTTAAATAAATTTGTAACTACCTCCTTGTAATATACAGGGTGGTACGAACTGTATTCCGGAAACTTCGGCAGCATATTCTGCAGATAAAAATAAGTAAAAAAGTTCGTATGAATGTATGTCCTAAAAATGCTTAGTTTCTGAAATAGATAGAATTTCTCGTAGAAGTTTCATTTTTATTTCGATTTTTTCCAAATAATTTCTGAAGTAACGTCAATATTTGGATGAAAATTGGTATCTGGCAAAATTTGATTTCGATGTCAATATGACTCCTATTTGTAGGGGGCGTCCGTACCTGTATAAAACTACTGAGTGAAAAATATACATTTTCGTGACTTTTTACGTGAAAAATGTCTCTTGGTAAAAATCGCTACGAGCAACCGTTCTCAAGATATTTAAAATAGAAAGATATTCTCAGATTCTCAAGATATATAGAAATAGTCAATACATGTCATTATTGACAAAAAATACACACGTTGAGTAGACAGTTGTTATTTGACTGAAATAATAATTTTGGAAAATTTTTATTTTTTTAAATTAATCTAAATTTTTCTGAGAAAAAATGATGATAAAACAGTTTCTGTTGAACTTTTGGCACAAAAACATTTCAAATTTATAATTTCAGTCTAATAACTGTTAGTCAACATGTTTAATTTAGGTCAATGATGATAGGTCTTGATAATTTCGATTCAAAATATCTCGAGAACCATTACTTGTAGCGATTTTTACAAAGAGACATTTTTTACGTAAAAAACGTCGTAAATTTATATTTTTTTACTCCCGAATTTTATACAGGTACGAACAAAAAGTTATTACTCTTCAAACCAGTTAAAAAATATGTAGGTGGCGCCCTCTACAAGTCGGAATCATATTGACATCAAAATCAAATTTCTCATGTCAAAAAACTCCCAGGCACCAATTTTCATCCAAATATTGACGTTACTTCATAAATTATTTAGAAAAAATCGAAATACATATTAAACTTGTACATCCTGTATCTTCGAAACTAAGCATTTTAGGACATACATTTATAAGAACTTTTTTACTTATTTTTATCTGCAGAATACGCTGACGAAGTTTCAGGAATACAGTTCGGACCACCCTGTATATCCAATCACATTTTTCATAACCGTACTCATTCTCAAACATGTAAGTACTGAATAAATGTGTTCTATAAAATATTCTAGTCAAAAGTGGTATAAAACAATTTAAGATATTGAGATATTTTTTTGTATTATAACCCTGTGCATCTATTATGTTTTAAAGTCTATAAAAATGTTAGAAAAATTTGTTTTGTTTATAAAAAAACAATTAATTGTTCATATAATTTTTATCTAGTATTATTAGAAAGTTTACTTTAATACTGATTCAACAAGTTTTAAAGTAAACTTCTAGGATTACTAAGTAAATATCTATAGTATAATCAATTTTTTTTTTGTTTAATTAAACAGATATGTCTAGTAATTCAAATAAAAACTTATCCATTAACAGCAGCGACTAAAAATTGAAAAATCCTACTTGATCCACTATGTATAATACTGTAAGAGTTTCAGATGTGTAGAAAAAACCTTTTCAAAAGTAATTCCACTTCAGTTTCTAAAAATACCGCTCTCGGTACAAAATCTTCCCGCATATCTTCCAATATTGCCATTAGTAACAAATATATTTAATTTTTTAAGCCAAAAAAATATTGTTGGCCAGTTATGTGTCAAAAAGAGCGCCCTCAAATAAAAACGTTATTGTTATCACTTATTGGCGGGTCTAGGAAATCTACCGTTATATATATGAACTACGATAAACCAAACCAACAAAATTTTCTTTCGACAAACAGAAGAACCTTACATAACCTCGCATTTGTCCTTGGCCACGCGGCTGTTGGTCTTGCCGCCCACGTTAAGGCTTACGTTTCGAGACTTCTCGAGATTCAGCAGTTCCTGAAATAATTGCTTTACATTGTGATTCGTCTTGGCGGAGGTTTCCATGGAGCTGATGCCCCACTCGGCCGCTTGGGCTTGGCCCTCCGACGTTGACACCTGTGAATAGGTAATAGATTATCTAAACTCGTCGTTCACAGGTTAAATCAGCTCCACTTTAAGCTTGATTTTCATGCATCCGTTGTCTGACGATACGATGATACAATAGTAATTTTATTGGTTGAATTTAAAGACTTCGATTGGTCAGAAAATTCTAGTGAATAAAACGTTGAATGGGGGCTAGGTTTGAAAGTGTTACTTGAAAATAACAGTTTCCACATTTAAAAATAACAGTGAAATGTATCAATAACAGTGAAAAGTATCAGGCGACTTTTGACTGCTTTTGATGAATCAGTTTCCACTATATTGATAAAAGTTACCTATACAGGGTGTCTCAGAAATAAGTGCAAATATTTTAAGGGGCGGTAGATCTGGTCAAACAAAACACATTTTTTCTTTACCATTTTTAAAATAAATTGAAAATAACCGAGTTATTTAACTTGAAAATTTAAAAAAATAATAGCAACATTTTGAGAACCGACGGCAGATATCGCCAACTACTCCAATTACCCGAATCAAGCCCGCATCTCAGGTAATTCAACAACCTGTGTGGCCATATGGACAAGAAAGTATATGCTTAAAAAAAGTCATAAAATCAGACCACCTGAGAAGTTTGGCAGAGATTGCAGAGATGCATTACATTTTTAAGATTGTGATATTATTACAGAAAATAAATAAAAAAAACAACATTAAAAAAAGACACTTATGACAGATCGATGTAACTGTGACAGTTCTCTTTTTTGATACACACTTAACTAAAATACACTTCACCATGCTGCTTTACTTGTACATGCTATTATAATAACTGCTAAAATAACAGTCCCCATTTCTAACACATTCTTTTCATATAGGCTTCATAACAATTTGAACCACTGATTTACAAAACACCTTGAAAAGCGCACATTACTTTGAATACCTTTTTGAATGAATAAATGTTGAGAATGATTGTCTCTTATCGCCACTTTACGAACTACTTTCAATCTAAGAATTCTAAATTCTTTTCATATAGGCTTCATCACAATTTAAACCACTGATTTACAAAACACCTTGAAAAGCGCACATTACTTTGAATACCTTTCTGAATGAATAAATGTTGAGAATTATTGTCTCTTATCGCCACTTTACGAACTACTTTCAATCTAAGAATTCTAAATTCGTCGGGCTGTTTTCGATATATTGAATTATGAATTACGATAAACATTTTAGAAATTTCTTTTTTGTGACCTTATCAATAATCAATTCATTTTTGTTTTGTTCGTTTCCTTTCATGTTTCTCTGTTTTATTTTTAAAATTTAATACGAACTTAATTGCTTCAAATGTCTGGAATTTGAAATTGTTGAAACTACGGCAACCTCGCTTAATATCGTTGCATGACGCAAGCTCGACACGGCGGCGCGGCTCTGAGTCTCAAAGAACAAAGAACCAGTTGACACGCGGCACCAGGGCCATGTAAGTTAAATATTCAAAATGGTTCCAGCAAAAGTTTTCGATATACGACGACTGTTGGCGCTGATCGTCAAAATCATGTAAAAATGTTTGTACAGGGATTTTGTTTACCGACAATACGACGTGAGCTACGATCGGACCAGGGTCAATCAGAACGGTCAGTCTTTCTTGGACAATTGCTGTGGAAGTGTGTGTTAATTTCTGTTGTGATAAGTGTGGTTGTGTTTGCAGTTTGATTTTTCGGTTTTGATATTATGTTAAATTCATTTTGAAGTATTGTATCACCTGTTTTTATGTAATAGTACTTTTTTTAGTTCTATGATCTGATATGTTATGATTTGTTAAAGTTTGTTTAACAATGTTATACCAAAGAGGTTATACTTAATATATCAATTTGCATAGCATAACTTTTTTATCACTAAACTTTGTAGATTTTCAGATTATTTAATTCCTTTTGTTTCCGTTTGTAATTTTATTTTTAAGACATATTATGTGATTGTTTTACATAATATGTTTTAAAAATAAAATGGCAAATAGCGATTAAAAATAATTAAAATAAAAACGTGTATTTTACAATCCCCGCCTGTTCCCCCCGGCCCCGCACCCCTTTGGCTATCCTGTAAATGTCAGCTACAACGAGAGATGGCGCTACGAAAATGGAACCGATTTATTACAAAGAATTATTAGTAATGATCACTGATAAAAGATTAAATTTAACATTCCTAATTTTTTATGTAGAAATTTGTCTGTCAATTTATAAATATAGAACTATGTAGAATGTGGATAACATAGGAGGTTGCAACACTGCAAGGTTTAGATACACCCATGATACACCGTAGAGAAATATCAGGTGAATAAACAAGTGGCACTAAAAAGTTTTTTAAAATTTCCCGGAAAATGTCAAGAAAAATTTTAAATTTTCAACAATTTTTTTTTCACAAAAAAACCTCGTAGGCGTGTTTCTAGGTTTGAAATATACTACCAGTTAAAATACTTGCACTTATTTCTGAGACACCCTTATAATGATGATGATGATGTTTCAAACAGCAATAAACAAAACAGTAATAAACAACTAAAGAAAAAAATCTAGTGAATAAGGGATTGAATGAGGGCTAGATTTGAAAGTGTTATTTAAAAATACCAGTTTTCATAAAAATAACAGTGAAAAGTGACAGGTTACTTTTGACTGCCTTTGATGAATCATTTTCCATTATATTGATAAAAGTTACATAACAACTATGTAGTTATGAATAGCTTCTGTGAAGTTGTTATCAGTCTGGTGGCTATAATCTGCCTAGCAAAACATATCTGATTCTGAGAGATGGCATCCAAAAAATGTCAGGAAAAAGTATATTCTTCAATTATAATAAAAAAAATTCCACTGACAGATAATCTTTCACTGGAGCAAATATTCATAAATTTGATTCTTTTTATACATACCTCTCTCAGCTCTGCACTTTCATCACATTTATTACCAGTTAACATAATGGGAATTTGACTTAAGTCTGGTCCTTTCAGTTCTTTTATGACTTCAAAAATTGGTTTTAACTCCTCCAAACTTTGCCGACTGCATACTGAGTATACAAGGATAAAAGCATGTCCTATAATAAACCAAAGTTTAAAAAAGTAAAGAATATTATTAAAATGGTATTACCTTTGCTTATAGAGAGCCTTTGCATTGCTGGAAATTGGTGTGATCCTGTTGTGTCTGTTATTTGTAGAGTACATATATTTTTGTTGCAACTAATAACCTGAAATATTTATTATAATTTATATATAAAATGAAAGGTAATAATGACATTAAAAAAATACACTTACCAAAATAAATCAACTAAAATAAAAGGCACATCAAGTCAAACCAAGCAACAAAAAATACTGCAACAGATAAATATAAAAATAAAACATAAAAACAATAAATGCATATTACTGATTCAACTTTACTTTTATGAGTATGGGCAAAGAATAATATGTAATGTATCAAAAAAATTCAAATGCATAACTTCTAGTACCAATACTCCTTTCAAATCAATATACTTCTAACGAACATAAAACATGAGAGTTTGTATTAAATATTGAACCTATATGGTATCAGAGTAATATGTACACTAAGTTTAAAAAACATTATCATAAATAAATGTACGAAAGAATAAAGTTAAGTATAAAATCTATGACTTTTACAACAAATTAACAGTATATATCTTGGTCTCTACATACTTGTCGATATGTATCTTCGATGGTAGGTATGTAACTCTCCCTGAAGGTGCCTTTAACAAATCTAAGCACCAAGGAGCTCTTGCCTACACCACCAGCTCCAAAAACTACCACACGGTAGTCGTTACTTTGCTCGGGCATCACAGATTTTGCGGAAATAATTTCGATTTAAAAGGTTATATTATGCAGTTAAACCACCCACATCAAACTTGTCTTCTAACATGTCGATGTAAAATTGATGCATTTTTCGATGCAAACACTTGTTTCGATTAAAACTCCATATAAAATATATAGTAAAAAATATTTGAAAATAATAAATCACTTGCTCAAATATAAAAATTAAAAGCTTGTATTGATTGGTTAGTTTTTGACAGAGCAGGGTGTGGGTGGGAGAGACCCCATGACATTTAACAATCAGTGGGCGAATTTTAATTGATATAAAAGGGTTACTCATGCATTTTTGTATCTGACAAGATCAATAAATCATAAATTAATGAATATTTATAAATATATATTTGTATAAAAACAGTTTTTGTATAAAATTGATAAGTAATTAATACTTATATTTTTAGAAAGTTTGGCAACGTTGAGAATTATCTGTCAAAAATCAGTCGTAAATTGTCATAATCAGCTGTTTATTGTTGAAGTTTCGTAAAGCTGTTTGGGCTTACAGGTTCTTATCAAAAAAGGAAATATTTGGGTATTCTGCTTATTGGAATTTTGTAGTAATCATGGCAGATGTGAAATCTTTGGAACATCCCACCTTAAAGGTACATAATTTGTAAACTTATTGCTGTACAGTATAAAACAAATAATATAAATTATGGTTGGTTGTATAGTAAATACACATTATTTATGGCGTAGTTTAATATAATGTAGACATAAAAAGTTATAAAAGAAGCAAATCTAATAAATAAACTGTGGCAAAAACTGATTGGAAACTGATGTGCATTTTTAATAATTCTTTAATAGATTTTGTAAACTATTAAAAAAATAAAGTTGAGATAAGATGTCATAAAGAGACAAACAAGGGTGTACTAACATATCCATATTCATAAAATGTATCTCTACGTTTGTTTTTATTTTATAGCAGGAGGTTTAATTGTTAATTAAATATTAAGTAGATTTATTAGTTATATATTTCAATTAGTATATTATAATATATAATATGTTAGGTTCCTTATGAAATTTTAAACAAGAAATTTCGTACGGCACAAAAATCCTTGGACAGGGAGGTATCTCATGTGCAACAGGGAGTGGGTGAAGTTGAAAAATGCCTTTCATCCGAGGGTGGAGTTAAGGCTAAAGATATCACTAATCTTTTAGGTAATTCCTGTAGATAAAACTAATATTTATTTCATTAACATAAAAATTAAAACTGATTTCCATCTAGGTGGTATGGTTGAAAAACTTCATGTCCTAAAACGCAAAGCTGATGAGAGTATATTAGAGGAATTGACAGCTGCTAATGTATGCAAGAGGAGATTAGAACATCTCAAAGAACATGCTACTGTTACAGCCAGTAACACAGTTTCAACAGGTAAGATACAGTCAGATTTCAATGCATATTTTATAAACATTTTCTGATATTTTCATTACATCATTATAATGTACTGAACTATGATGTAATATTGCAAAATATTGTTAATTTATATTATTGCTTGTGTCATTTCTTGACTTAGAGTACATTAAAAAATGTTATACAAGCATACAGGGTGTCCAACATTTTATTTGGGCTAAGACTTCAACATGTTGAAAAACTTTTTTAATAAAGATAAATTTATGACAGCACATCTTTTGTTATAAAAATATGTAGTATTTTTTTAAAATTGAATTATTTCAACCTCTGCAAATATTTAAACTACAAAACGATATTCAAGTGTCAGGGTATGGGGTTTGCTGTAAGGCAACATAAGATGTAAAATAAAATTTTACATTTTAACTTGACAGTTTATTCTTTTCCAAAATACCTCTTGACAGATTTACTATCTATATTAATAGTAGAGACATTTTTCATAAATCATTACATTACAATGCCATAATTGTCATACATGGACGGTCATACCAGTCCCGAAACGTCACAGCCCTAACCCATTCACAGAAATTGTAGGCTTAAAAAACGAGATAAAATTTCGAAAAAAAATCCTCTGCCTTAAATTTTGACCCTAAATCGAATGGTGATACTGAAAAATTATTTGGAAAAGCGGAAAGTTGAAGGCAAAGAGTTTGCTCTGATGGGTTGCTAACTGGTTAATCAACACAAACTTATGAAAGTTATGGCTGTTCAAAAGTAACCAAGTAGTTATTAAATAATTAATTGGAAAATCAAAATTTCATGATTTTTACAACATCTTATTGCTTTAAAAACGAAATAAACCAATTACCAAAGTTCCTTATTAAAATAATGCATTCCTTAATTCATTCATAGTAAATATTTATAGTGACCACACCATTCATTTCAATTCCAAGATCTGCGTACCCTGTGGAATATTCTTGGTGTTGTCCGAATTTGATCGAAACAGTCAATAATGCGTTGCCGTAGTTGTTCTTCAGTATTAATCGGCACTGAGTAAACCAAAGCTTTCAAGTGGCCCCAGAAGTAGAGATCTAGTGGATTATTTCGTTTTTTAGAGCAATAAGATGTTTTAAAAATCATGAAATTTTAATTTTTCAATTAATTATTTGATAACTACTTGGTTACTCTTGAACCGCCATAACTTTCATAAGTTTATGTTGATTAACCAGTTAGCTACCCATCAGAGCAAACTCTTTGCCTTCAATTTTCTCGAAAGCTCTGGGCGATGTGCAACAAGAGTGCCTTTTTTGTAGGAAAAAGTAGGTAAATCGTTTTCAAAAAATGAACCCATGTTGCAAAAAAATAACCTCAAAAAAGTTATTCACGAAACAACCCCCTACCTTTGCAAAAACTACCCTTTCCGCTTTTCCAAATAATTTTTCAGTATCACCATTTGATTTAGGGTCAAAATTTATGGCAGAGAATTTTTTTTCGAAATTTTATCTCGTTTTTTAAGCCTACAATTTCAAAACAACCGTTTTTTAAATTCACCCTTTCTGGGAGTTAGGGAACTCCCTTAATATGCATGTTCCGCCCTATACTTATAGGAAATTTTTTTACCATTTTTAGGAGTATGTACTGATCACCCCCTGATTTTTTTACACCATTTCAATGACACCCTGTATATAAGTATAGTTCATATCAAATAAACTTTTAGTCATGTGATTAAACTTGACCAGCACAGCGTTGCCCACTTTCACATCTTTTCTTTTAAATAAAATATTTAGCAAACAAAATTAAATTAATTACAAATATAAACAGTTATTATTTACAGCAGCATAACTCACCTTCTTAATAGCACTTACGGGACATAAAGGGCCATTACTACCGCTTTCCCGTTCAAAATATTCTAATAAAGCTGCGATGAGTTTTTTACGGCTATTAAGCTATCTTCTACACTTCGCACTAAAAGAGGTTCTAAAAAGAACAATGTTCGACTGCAAAGTCTGCTAGTAGAATTTTTTAAGCTTAAAATATCACAACACAATTCATTTAAACCAAAAACTCGTAATATATAACTAAAGTGTCAAAACGAATGACAATGTCAGGAAATAAATAAATAAATGTGGCAACTTGACATTTTCTACAGCAGGACTACCACCTGAATCCCCAGCGGAAAATTTGAATTCCGGTTAGTCAGCCCGGCGCCGAATATGTCCATGGTTGGCAACAATGAATTTAAAAATAGCGCGTTCGATTACTAACTAAAAGTTTAATTGGTATCGAATATAGAGGTAAATTGTGTCCAATGAATTTATTTTAATTCCATAACTCATAACATAGTAGTTATATGTCTACAGAATATTGGAACACCCTGCATGTCATGGCAGACAGACAGAACTGTCATACTGTATTAAAAATATTCTTTTTTATGGACAGACTGTACATGAAACTGTCATCTTAAAATTCTTCTTACAGTGCCATACTCTATATAGAGCGTCGGCTACCTCTCGCATGTACCGGGTGGCCAACTAAGAATGGACGCCGGCTATATCTCAGAAACTACTTATCGTATAATTTTGGGAAAAAAATTCTAATAAGTAAATCGACCAAGAGAAATCGCTGTAAATTATTTTTAAGTTCCAAAAATGCCCGCTAGAAGGCGTTTCTCTAATAGCCAATCAGAAAACAGGGTTTTTCTCAAAAATATGCAGGTGAACAGGTATTTTAAATATGGCTATTAGAGAAACGCCCCCTAGCGGGCATTTTTCGAACTTGAAAATAATTTCCAGCGATTTCTCTTGGTCGATTTACTTATTAGAATTTTTTTCCCAAATTTATATAAGTAGTCTCTGAGATACAGCCGGCGTTCATTCTTAGTTGGCCACCCGGTACTTGTGATGTGTGTCATCAGTGTTTCACAAGTACACGGGACCTACAGTTTATTGCTGAATCCGAACGGCACTATTTGAGAGGCTGTACAAGGCAAATATACTCAAGGTGGTTTGCTATTACCTTCCTTGAGGTGGCGGCTTGCTGATCGCTCTATTTAGATAAATAAATATTTTTATTTAAATAAATAAAGCGACCGTACTGGCTGGGGATCGAACCCAGGAGCTTCCGCTCCGCAGATCGACACACTAACGCTGGAACTACGGCCGGCCACCATCTTAAAATAGGTTCTTAAAATTTGTCCTTTTACAAAAAACTGTACTACCCTGTATTTTAGCTGTTAACGCGAATAACCTTGACTTTCAAATGGAACTTCTGCGGTATTCATTTACATAATAAAACAATTATTTTATACAGTGTGTTCAAATTGTTGAGGTTTCTCAAAAAAATTTATTTATAAGAGTGTTTTTTTCCATCAATCATACTTCAAAATTTTACAATTAATTTTTAAATTGTACCACTGGATTTTGAGAATTTTTTATATTATAACAGGTACACTGAATCAGTGGAGGAAAAAACGACTAGATAGAATGGTGGTTGAATATTTCTTGCGCAATGGTTTTTACAATGCCGCTATTAAACTGGCCGAAAGAAGCGAAATTAAAGAATACACTAACATTGGTAATTAAATTAAACAATTAATTTAACGTAAACAGTTATTATTAATTCTTTATTGTAGATATATTTTTGAATTCTCGCGAGGTAGAGAAATCTTTAGCCAGTCATGAAACTCAAAAGTGTTTGGCCTGGTGTCACGATAATAAATCCAAATTGCGCAAGCTCAAATCGACTATGGAGTTCAATATTAGAGTTCAGGAATTTGTAGAACTTATCAGGAAGGTTTGTTGGTTTAAATTATAGTATAATCAAAAAGTTTTATGATGAAGTGTGCTTTATATGTCAGTTTTTTAACTGTCATTGTCAAAGTCTGCTTGGTCATTAAACTTTTTAATCATATAATGCTTTTTGACAACAATGGTAAATTGGCAAATTTGCAAATGTCAAATTTATGTCATGTTTTTAAGGTCTGAAGTCTGTCCAACGAGCCACGGATGATTTAATGAAAATACAATTTACCTGCGAATTAAAATGACATGTCAATTGTCATTATTATGTCTACTCTCATTGGACAGACTTTATTTAAAAAAAAACGATTACAACAAATTCAAAAAATTTACCAGTGGAATTTTTCGAAATTAATTTTTAGACTAAATTTTCTATACTTTAAAAACTCTGTTTAAATGATAGAATGGCAGAATATGGATATTTTTTAATTATGAGAATTACATATTTTATAACAGTGTACTTTGCAAACCCGGTTATTTTATACAGGGTGTTTCAAGAAGCATGTGCCATCCTCGTGGGGAGATACATAAAAATAAAATTTATTTTTTATATCAACATAGGTCCGATTCTCCTTTGTTTCGTAGCTACAGGGGGTTAAAGTGTTAATTTTTCGATTTATTATAATTTTCTTCCCAGTGCTTTTAGTGATTTGAATGAAATTTTGAGAGTAAAAGTTACTATAAGTGCTACATATTGTCAAGGTGTATGTAGCGCTAAAATGTATTACTGGTTGCCTATTACTGGTTGCCAAACCAAACCAAACCGCAACGATCGAAAAATAAATGAAGATTTTGAATTCCCTGTAGCTACGAAACAAAGCAGAATCGGAGAATATAAATCTTATTTCTACGGGAGAAATCTCCCTACGAGAGGTGGCACAAATTTTTGAAACACTCTGTATACGGGGTGGATTAAAATTGGATGTTTTTATCCATTATTTCAAATGGATCACTATTTTATAAGAAAACGTAGTTTTTATCCAACTTTATGTTTTAATAACTAATTTTTATATCTAATACTAATATTTTTAATGAAAAATTTATTGTGAAATTAATGAAGAACTTTTCAGTGGGGATCAGTAAGTCACCCTGTATTTTTGTTGGCTACTTACTTTTAGCAGAATTTTCGAGATATGATATAATTAAAATATTTCTTTTATTTGGATATATCCCAGTTAAAATATTTTACTATAATCATCAAAGAATGTGTTATTTTAATACATTTTTTTTCTATATTATTTTTGATTCTTAACCTAGGACCGTAGAATGGACGCCATAAAGCACGCACGCAAATATTTCCCTAGTTTTGAGGACGAACATCTGGTGACAATCCAGAAAGTTATGGCTCTGTTAGCTTTTTCAGTAGGCACTAGTAAGTAGAATTTATTAATATTAGTACTCCTTATTCTATTTTACTCTTATTTTTTACATTGTTGGTGTAGTTTTCTAACCTTTTTTTTTGTACTGTAAGACATATTTTTCTTAAGCTTTGCCAGATTATGCAGTTCTATTCGACATGCGCAGATGGGACAAACTTATTGAGCAGTTTAGGCAAGAAAACTACAAGCTTTTCCAGCTGTCTTCGCAATCCGTATTTACAGTCACTCTTCAGGCTGGACTGTCAGCATTGAAGACACCATATCCTTTTTATACTTATTACATTTAAATTGAAGTGCATCTTTACATTTTTTTTAAACATAAGGGTAGATAGTTTACATATTATAACCAGGTGATAGAGTTACTTACAAATTAATTTTTAAGTTGAACATATATATTACATTACAGCAAAATAAAATACTAAATCACCACAATACACCAAAACGCTTTTACTTTTACACTGGACGCGCGTTTCGCTAACCATGTTAGCATCATCAGCAGATGATCAATACTCCTCTCTCTGATGATGCTAACATGGTTAGCGAAACACGCGTCCAGTGTAAAAGTAAATGTGTTTTGGTGTATTGTGGTGATTTAGTGTTTTATTTTGCTGTGTAACACCAAAGGTTCCAACCCCCAACTGTAATTACATTACATCTAAATTGTAGTGCATCTTTACATTTTTTTAATATAAGGATACATAGTTTACATATAACCAGGTGATAGAGTTACTTACAAATTAATTTTTAAGTTGATTAATTTCCTTAACGGAAAACACTCAGTGTTATTCGGAAAATAATGAAAACAGGAATCCAGCTTGCCCAGTGTGTCAAGAGGATTTAAATAAACTGGCTGATCCTCTACCATTTGCTCATTGCTCACAGTCTAGGTTATATTGTCACATTACTGGCCTACCATTGAACGAAAATAACCAGCCTATGATGTTACCTAATGGTTATATTTATGGGGAGCAGGTAAAGTTATTATGGCATTATGTTTGCAGCGTATAAATACTCGTATTTATTTAATATTTTTTTTTGTTTTGATTTTTACATGATTTAAAATATCGGACTATAACTTGTTTAATTCAAAAATTAAAATTAAACTATTTCTATTATCACTACTTTTTCCATAGTTCATTGAACAGATAGTAGAAGTGGGCAAAACTGTTATTTCTAAATAGCAGTTGGAACTGTTGCTGTTATTTATAAATAATAGTTTAAAATAACAGGTTTCTGTCATTTATTGATTTTAGTGTTAAACAGTGAATAAGTATATTAAATATAAAATATGATTTTTTTTTCAATAAAGATTTTATTATGATAGTACAGACACCCTCAAAATCTGTAATTTTTAAATACAGGGTTGCTGATATGTATGGGAACAGTCGATGATTAGGTAAAATATACGAGGTACCGCAAACAATTAAATACAAAAGTTACAGGGTTTTTAAATGTCAGTTGAAAAAACCTGCGCTTTCAGTCAGATATTTATCTCTTTTGAATCATTTCCTGTTCTAAAATTTTTCGCCGCATATTTTAGGTTTTAGCTACAGCAGCGTCATCTTATGTCATTGTAATGCAGACACATATTGGTCGGTCCGTTTAATCTGTAACATTTTTCGACGCACACATATCATATGATAAGTGGTAGCATGTGGACTGAGCTGTACTAGCTTGTTAAAATTTCGTGATGCGGCATCGGCATCACATCGCGAGTGATCGCAGCCGCGGAACTTATTTTTATACCTGTTATTTTTTGGAAGTAACAGTTGTTAAATACTGTTATAAGTGTTGAAGCACAGATTATACAGATTATAATCTTTGTTTTTTCTTTATTGTTTTTCGTGGTTCCAATTTTCGGAATCGGCCACTAGTTAGGTGACTAGTTTGCGCACATAGCCCGCCCACGTATGGCCTCTAAAATTGTGCACAGCGCCTGACCGGCACAGTTATTAGAGAGATATCGGAAAACCGAATAACGTCATCCAGTATTTACGCGTACCTTCTCATGGTTACGATATGCGCGAGTCAATTTTTAACGCAACACCCGCTAATAACGTTACCGTCTGACGTAATGTGCGGATCAATTACACCAAGCGCTATTTCTAAATAACGTTTAAAAATTGCTTAAATGGGCATGTGCGGGTATTTGACAACCGGAGCCGGCCGGCGAGATCTTTTATTTTAGGTTATGTTTGAGTTGTTTTGAATTATTGCCTTAGTTTTATTAGGTAATTTGATATTTAAGTAGCTGCGATTAGTTTTAATTGGCCCAAAATATGGATTCCACCTCTTCCAATACTAAAGAACCTATAAAGAGTCTTAGGCCTTCAGCAGATGACGATTTAGCCCTTCTAAGAGAATTTGTTGCTTGTTGCCCTAAACCCAGGCAGACGTTGAACAATAAAGCACTGGAAATAAGCAGCCCTTTAGTTTTAAAATACCTAGTAAACAAAACAATTTCAAAGTTTTAAATTCAAAGTTAGGTTAAGTTTAAATAGCGGACGCGCCGCGATCCGAATTCTTTCCGGTCCGATAACGCCGATAACTATAAATGAAGAGAGTTAATACCACCTCATGTAAAGGAAATAACACCTGACCTTTTTAACGTCCATGCACGCTATTCGGTTTAGCGATATCTCTCTATTACGCTGTTTATTGTTATTTTACGCGAGTTTATTTTTGCGCACAGGAAATTTGACTCGTTTGCACATCGTCATAAAAAACAATTTTCGTACCACGAATTAGGGACAAGATTTTTATCTGTATACTTATAGGATACCTAATCTGTGGTTGAAGTAACAGTTGTTAAAAACTGTTATTTATAACAGATCGTTACATAACACCCGCTTTTCTATTTTTTTTTGGAACTGGTGGCGCGCTGTTATTTTCATACCTGTTATTTTTTGGTAGGGACAGCTGTCGCGAACTGTTATTTATAAATAACAGTTGTAAAATAGCAGATCGTTAAATAACAACCCCTTTTTACAATGTAGGATCATTGGTTTACATATTAATTTTATGTTGAAAGGAGTTATTTGTTAATAGTCGAAATATAATATAAGTTTATTTTGCAAGAAATAATAGTGGAACAACTATAATCATTGATGCCAACATGAACGTTTGGACATTCGAGACAGGATAATCATTTACACGTAAATCTAAGTAAAATCTATTTTTTTGAAAAACTTTTATGCTAGTTTTCAATAAATCACTTGAATATCCGAAATTGTCATTTCAATGGACACTGTGACGCTGTTTTTCTATCATACGTTATTCGACGTTACTATATAACGTTATTCGACGTTCTTCTTCTTCTTACAGTGCCATACTCTATATAGAGCGTCGGCTACCTCTCGCATGTACTTGTGATGTGTTATCAGTGTTTCACAAGTACACGGGACCTACAGTTTATTGCCGAATCCGAACAGCACTATTTTAGAGGCTGTACAAGGCAAATATATTCAAGGTGGTTTGCCATTACCTTCCTTGAGGTGGCGGCTCGTTTGTTGCTCTATTTAGATAAATAAATATTTTTATTGAAATAAATAAAGCGACCGTACTGGCTCGGTATCGAACCCAGTACCTTCCGCTCCGCAGACCGACACACTAAGCTGGAGCTACGGCCGGCCACTATTCGACGTTATAAAAACGAAGTATATATATTTTAGGCTCTCGAAGTGATGGCTAAAGAGAACAATGGCCAAATTATTTGCCCCAAAACGAAAGAAATATTTCCGTTCAAGAAAGTGGAGAAGGTGTACGTCATGTAAAGATGATACCGTTCATGTGATACTCAGAATAAGAATATATTCGTATATTGTAATACTAAATGCCATTTATTTTTTAGATTATATGTAGGTTTATAAGGTAAGATCTACTGTTTATTAGATGTTTTTCACTTTATTATTAAGTGTTGCATTTTATGACAGATCTTTAGAGTACGATTAGCCATTTTGAATTTGAGTAGCTTTAATTTTTTGTATAATTACTGACATAAATTATCTGTATTTGACATTATAGGCGTCAAAAATATATGTAAGAAATTGTTTTCATAAATTTCTATAATGTAATAAATTGATATGCATCTCAAATCCAAAATAGGCTGATCACAAGTAATTTCCATTAAGGTGTTGTATCATGGTTTTCTTAAATGTGTAGGATTTTTCAAAATTGTATTTGATAAGTTTTGCTATATCTAGTTTTCAACAATCAGCTTGAGCTATGGTTTCGTCTAAAATTGAAACTTTTCTATCATTAAGAATAATTATATGATATATTTTAGATTATATTTTTGTTAATGAAAAATTTAAATTCGTTGTTTGTATCGTCTTCCTTGCGATAAAAATTTGATAAAAAAATATTACTCGCTCAGTTGGCGTTGATTTGTGGCAATAAAAATCTATCATTTCTCATATAAATTATAATTTTAATTTTATATGTATTACTTTAATCGTACAATAAAGAATAAATTTATTTAGAATTTTGTAGTTTTTTTTTTAAACTTTTAATATAATCTTATTGTATTAAAAGTGTGTATTAAAATTGTCCACATTTTAAAAAAAAGATTAGTGCACAAATCTCTAGTAGAAATAACATTGAATCACAAAACATCCCCTTTTAGAACATTTTCTGTAATGGCAATGACTGGAAGTAAAAGCTTGGGGCGAACAAACACTAGAGGCGCTGCTAGTCTTCTAAAAGTCTAAAAGTTAACAAATATTTATTTGTTTTTTAAATGTGTCAATATTTTTATTTCGTTGTTTTTTGTGAATATTCGGTGTATGATTTTGGCAATTTTCTCATTAATTACTGGTGTATTTGTACTTATTTTACTAAATACATTCTATTTTAATTATTCATATTTAAATGCAATGGCTTTTTTCAACCGAGAACGCAAACCTGTGAAGAAGTGTAGCGTTCCTAATTTTTTTTTTGGGAGGTGTAAAATACCTTTACGTACGAAGTGTGGGACTCAATCTCTCCTTAAGCTGCCTGGAGGACACTACCCACTAAACGTCACCCCCTCGTTCCTGCCACGTCTACCTGGACCCGCTGGACGCATCTCCTCAAGTAGACGCCGGACTGTTCCTTTTTTGTCATTACCCCTGCTCTTCGCTGTATTTTGCCTCTAGTATATTTTGGGCCAGTTTTGAGTTCCTAATTGCAAAAACAAAAATGGCAGTTTTGTTCGTTTTCCAAATCCAAGGAAAGATTCGAATTGTTTTGTACGTTTTTTTTCAGTTTATAGGTATGTAAAATACATAATTTATAATAACATCAATAATTGTTTTATTTTTATAAACGTTAGATCGGGTATTGATATACATTTTTTTTTTATTGTAACAAAGTAGGTATATTAAAATTAAATTATATGGTATATACAGGGTGTCCCAGAAATAAGTGCAAGTATTTTAAGGGGTGGTGGATCTCGATAAAAGAAACATATTTTCTCTTTATCGGTTTTCAAATAAGTCCAAAATAACGGAGTTATTTTACTTATGGGATTTACTGGATTTTCTTTCTTGTAAATTTAATATAATACCTATATGTTGCCATATTATCAAGAAATTTCTGTTTTTTAACTAAAAATTAAAAAATTTTCAATTTTTTTTTGCGAAAAAAACCTCATAGGCGTGTTTCTGGGGTTGACCAGTTAAAATACTTGCACTTATTTCTGGGACATCCTGTATAAATTGTAATTTTTAATATACAATGTAATTTTAATATACCAATTTCATTACAATTAAAAATATGTTTCCATAATATTCCAAAAAAAAATAGATTAAATATAGGGATCGATATTTCATGAATTTAGTGCCCGGACAAACTCAAGGGGGCGCTTCTTTTACTTTCATTTCATGACATATAAGTCAAAATTCTAAAGGGGGATGTTTTGTGCATTGAATCAAAGAAATTAATTTGTTTGAAAATTGAAGTTTATGTGACATAAGTTTGTATTATAAAATAATTCGGAAATGTATTTTTTCAAAAATGCATTAATGTCATGTTTTAATAACGCTGCTTATCAAGGAATTTTTATGTGAACTATTCTGTATTATTATGTACAAATAAATGAAAAACATTTTAATTCATTTTTTATTGAAAAACAAGAATATTTTTTATTATATATTTTGAAATATTATAACAAAATATCTAACGTATTGACAATTATTCAAAATTTAACGTAAAATACAACGATTACAACATTTTTACCAATTAAAAGAATCTATAACCAAGATTCCGAACTTTTTCTAAATGGCAACAGCAAAAATGTTTAAAATGATAAAATAATGTAATAACAATAAACAATATTAGAACAATTTTTTTAACGTAAACTTTCTAACAGTAGCAAACCTGTTATTTTTATAAATAACTATCAAAACTTTTCTCATCACACAAACTTGTCAAATCGATAGAATTCAGAATATCGTCATCAGACAAAATTCTGAACTTTCCAGATTTTTTCGGTTTCAAAATATCTGATAAATCTTCAGAAGTGAATGTTAACTCACTTATGTTACAATCAGGTTGTACTTCAACCAACTCAGATTTTTCTTTGGAATAAACTCCATTTAGATTAACCAGAATTTTCGATTTTAATTTTTTATCTTTTTTAATTTTTCTTATTTTGTGATTTTGTAATTTAGATTTTTTGTTGTATTTTTTGCTATCGCTATTTTTATCTTTAAAATATCGGCCAATGAAACTAAAGGTCTTAAGTCTATCGACCAAAGGTAACTTGCAAGCATAGTTAGCGTCGTTTACTGCAGTATTTATTCTGTTGTAATAATGGTCGGTGATTTTGGGCAAAAAATACTTATTTCTTGAGTTTATCTCAAACGGTTCTAAATCTTTATTCTTGATCCAAGCTCTCGTCACTTTGGCGGTATCAAAAAAGGTTACGTTGTACCAAGACTAGAAAATATAAAGGTACAGTGAGTGTGTATTATACAGAGTGGCTCAATATAAGGTTCCCTATTTGAAATTTTCATTCTTAATGAAAAAAAATATTCATGGTGGTTGGAATTGTAATCTGAATATAAAACACTATAATAAGTTGGTATAAATTTAAGCCCTAAAAATTCTTTGTTTCGGAGATACAGGGCGTGGAAGTTTCATTTTTATGTCGGTTTTTTTCCAAATAATTTCTGAACAGACGTCAATATTTGGATGAAAATTGGGTTCTGTATTTTTAACATGAGAAATTCTGTTTCGATATCAGTGTGATTCATACTTAGGGAGACCACATATGTAGAATACATGTTTTTTTACTATTTTGAAGAGTAGTAACTTTTCGTCCGCACCTGTATTATACTACTGAGAGAAAAGCTATACATTTGCGGCATTATTTTGTACACAAAAAAGGTCTCTTGGTAAAACATGTTGAGTAGATAGTTATTTGACTAAAATGATTCGGAAACAGTTTATTTTTAGCCGACCATACCGACAGGTATGGTAGGCTATTAAGATCGGCAATTTTTTTTTAATTTCACTCAAAATGAGTTATTTGGGTCATAAATGACCTAAATATTTTCATGGTGTCTGTCTGTCTGTCCGTCTGTAACACGATAACTCAAAAACCGCTAAACCGATTTTGACCAAATTTGGCACAAAAATACTGTGGCACCCGAGAATCTGGCCATTAGTTTTAGGTGTGGGTGGGGGGTCGGTAAGGGGGTATGGGAGGGGGTTAAAAATTTTAAAAAATCGTAACTCCAAAATTACAGTAGCTAGCGAAACGCGGTTTTCAATTCTTAAATTGAAAACCGCGTTTGCAAATTTGTTGCAAATATTATTCCTAATCTTAATTAAGAATAATATTTGCAACAAAATTTGTAATAACATCAAAATTAGTCAAAGTCGCAGTTTTTGAGATAATTGATTATTAACATATTTTAGTATGGGCGGTTATATGTGCCTCCCGGCGCCAATTTTTAAAATTAATTTTTCTAGAAAAAATTATCATAATATTGATTCTGTTGGACCTTTGAAATAGAAACATTTCCAGATTTATTATTTAGTCTAAATAACTATCGGACAACATGTTTATTTTTTGCCAATGACATGTATTGATTATATCGATTCGAAATATCTTGAGAACGGTTGCTCGTAGCTATTTTTACCAAAGGAATCCGTTGATTGAAGAAATAAGAAGATGCACAACCTTATGGGCGATAGTGGCACAAAACATGTCCGAGATGTAGCTGTTGTTACCGTCAACCTGTCCGAGATTTAGTTTAGCTCTGCGCCGTTGCGCGCTGGTAGTCGTTTACAGCTTCAAAGTTTACAGCGCAGCGAATAAATAATACTACTGTACCGTAGTTGTGCTTTCAGTCGACAGAATGGGTGGTTGCCGGAGACAGTGTTGCCAGAACCACGGATTAATCCGTATTTTAAAGGATCCGTAGCATTTTGAGTACAGTACGTTAATAATACGGATTTTCTATCATTAAACAATTTAATGTAATATTATATGATTAAAGAAGAACGGCGTCAGAGTTGACTTGGAAATGAAGATCGCTGATATCTCATATGTAAAATATTATGGTAAATATCAAGAATCGTCATTTCCAAGACAACTAAACGACTTTTTTCGATCATTCGACATATTCAGTGTCTATAAAAGAATTTTATTTTTGTTGTTTATTGTATGTTTAAAACGAATAAATGTTCAATAGATATACGCGGAGTTTTCATCCAAAGATATTTTCGTCAAACGTATTACAGATTTTATACATTTTAATATGGCAACACTGTCGCCTTCGGTTCCACGCCGCCCTCGATATGCCTTCGCTGTTTTATGCGTTGGTCGCAGAACGATTGGTGTCTCCACCGTACAGCACTTGAGACGTAAGGGGAAATCAAATCAGCCTTGTCACAAATTCGCCCATTAGGTTGCGCATCTTCCAAATTCTTTCGATCAACGATATTGAGCTTTTTCAGAAAAGTGGATCGCCTGTATTAAGGCCCGCTTCAAAACCAAAACACTCTACAAGACCTGCAGATACTTACTGGTTTAATGCTGTGTTCATCATCCATCCAAAAGTAGCTTTTAAAATCTGGATCATCGTCAATCATGGCTGGCCACCATGGATACCCTTCCAATTTAGCCCACACAATACTGCCAGCGTTGAACTATAAAAAATAACGCGAATTAAAAAATAGATCTAAATAGGATCTAAAAAAACTCTTAAGTATTAGCATGTTATTAAGGAAAACCCTGTATGTAATCAAATTTATTTTATCATTCACCCTATTATGGATAAGTAGTTCTTCCTTTTCTGGCTCTATGGGATAATCAGGATCTTCGCATGATTTGTATTCTGGGTCTGGATTCATGTAACAGTACCATTTGTCGGGTAAGTCTAGAGGATCTTTACAGTCGGGTAAGTACCTTACCTAAAAAACACATCAAACAGATCAGTGCAATTTTTTATAATACAATATTGTTTCCAGTAACTTGTTATCTTTAATAAGTGTACATACTATGAATAGTAGACTGTTTAAAGAAATCGACTGTTTTTTTTCTTAATTATACCAAAAATGTTGTTGGAAATGAAAAAAAAAATACTGTGAAAGTTTCAACTCTTAAATATTAATATTAAGAGAAGAGGTGCTGCATCGGAAATTTCTATTTTCCATTTGAATATATTTTTTACAACTTTGGAATTTTTTTAACTCTTTAACGAGCTTTCGGACTATACCGGGTGCGTCTCAAAAGTGGCTCACCCCTAACTTTTTTATTTTTTTGGATAAAAAAAACAGATTTGGTATGTTAGTATATGACATAAATTGGGATTGATTGACGTATTCAATTGTTTTTAGTCACTTCTCCTTTCACCGGAAACGACTACAACTTTTGATTGTTAAATGACATTTTCGGTATTTTTTTTATATTCGATAGAAAATGACACTCTGAATAGAATGACATATCATATGTCAACTTTTGACATTTTCTCAGATGGTTTATTTGAAATTGTAACATGCGGTTCATAACCATAATTTGACTCGAAATACCAAGTGTGTGGCACCAAATTATTCGTAAAAAAATGCTTTTTCCAAATATGCTAATGAGCCACCGTCGTTCCATTTGAAAAACTTGAGATATGATTAAAAATATGATTTGTGCATCTTTCAACCGGCCAGGACAAGATACGAAAAACATTAGACGATCAAATCTGTTTTTCCAAGGCTCCTTGTTTTTAACACAACCATGGCACGAAAATGTCAAAAGTTGACATATGATATGTCATTCTATTCAGAGTGTCATTTTCTATCGAATAAAGTAAAAAAATACCGAGGGTGCCATTTAAAAATCAAAAGTTGTAGTCATTTCCGGTGAAACAGGAAGTGACTAAAAACAATTGAATACGTCAATCAATCCCAATTTAAGTCATATACTAACATACCAAATCTCGTTTTTTTATCTGAAAAAATAAAAAAGTTATAGGGGGTGAACCACTTTTGAGACGCACCCGGTATAGTTGGGTCGAAACATATTCTTGTAGAGAATTGAACGCTCTACAAAAAAGGTCTTGATCATTTTTTGATATATTTATTGGTTCCAAAGTTATTCAAGGCTAAATATTGACTGATGACACAATTTTTCAATTTTTTGACCTATCAATTTTATGGGAAAATGTCATAGGACATTTTTGTAGAGCTTTTCATTCTCTCATGTTAAAAACCTGTAATTCACACAACATCAGTTTAATGAAAATAACTTACTAAGTACCTGTACAAATTATCAAAAACTTTTATAGAGATAACTTATAGAGAAAAACTCTACATAAAATAAAATATTATATAAAAGTTCATAGTTACGTCAAAGAATTGAAAAAATGTATGAAAAAAGTTCCCATAAATAATTACAAAGAATAAAGAACCTATTTTTTTTAAAAATTTAATACATTCTGTATCTCTAAAACTACCCACATTTCCGGAAATATTTTTATGAGAACTTTTTTCCAATATTTTTTGACGGAGTCACCTCTGAAATTTGGCCGTTTATTTTTTGAACATCCTGTATAAAAACATCCTGTATTACCTTGTCGCATAGGTCACAATAAACATATAATCCAACATTTCTATCTTGTTGTAACTCAATTAATTCATCTAAATGGTCTTCGATCGATTCCTTCTTATCTTTCTGTTTCTTCTCACCATTTTCAATATGTTTTTCAGTACGGCTTTTTTTCTTTAGTTTTTTGGAGGTATCTATTTTTTCATTTTTTGCAATAAAGTTATCTATATTCATTTTTTTAATGCCAGTTTTTTTGGAGATTTTCTTTTGTTCAGACTTATCCCTAGCTGACTTGTCATCTTTAGAAGTATTATTGTTAGTTTTGTTTGTTTTATTTTTTATTTTCTGATTATTTTCATCTTCAGAATTGTTAGAGCTTATCAATTTTTTCTTCAAATCACCGGACTTCTTTTTCTTTGATAATTCATTCTTATTATTTTTAACATCAATTTTTTTCTGTTTAATTTTTCGATTATTCTCTTCTTCAGAGTTGTTAGAGTTTATTAATTTTTTGTTCAAATCACCAGACTTTTTCTTTGAAAATTCATCCTTATTATTTTTAGCATCAATTTTTTTCTGTTTAATTTTTCGATTATTCTCTTCTTCAGAGTTGTTAGAACTTATTAATTTTTTCATCAAATCAACAGACTTTTTCTTTGAAAATTCATCTTTATTATTTTTAACATCACTTTTTTTCTGCTTAATTTTTCGATTATTTTCTTCTTCAGAGTTATTAGAGCGTATTAATTTTTTGTTCAAATCACCAGACTTTTTCTTTGAAAATTCATCTTTGTTATTTTTATTATCACTTTTTTTCTTTTTAATTTTTCGATTAATTTCTTCTTCAGAATTATTAGAGATTATTTTTTTGTTCAAATCGCCAGACTTTTTCTTTGAAAATTCATCTTTGTTATTTTTGTTATCACTTTTTTTCTTTTTAATTTTTCGATTAATTTCTTCTTCAGAATAATTAGAGCTTATTATTTTTTTGTTCAAATCACCAGACTTCTTCTTTGAAAATTCATCCTTATTATTTTTAACATCACTTTTTTTCTGTTTAATTTTTCGATTATTTTCATCTTCAGAATTGTTAAAGCTTTTCAGTCGTTTCTTCAACTCACCAGATTTTTTCTTTGAAAAATCAAACTTATTCCTGTTTTTCGGTGATTTTTCTGTCACTGTTTTTTTAGCTGTGTTATTTTTGAACGTATCCTGTGATAGTCTCATGTTTGAAACAACCATATCGTGTAAGGCTTGGCTGAAAATGTTTTCGTTATACAGACTTTGGCTGGATTCGATGACATTTGAAATTCCACTGTCACTGATCACAGAAGCAACGTCTGCATTGATGCTTTGGTTCAATTTTAAATTTGTTAATACACAGTCTGTTAAGGCACTGCTTATAGAAGATGGTGTTTCGGTCATGGCTCTCAATTCTGATAAATTTTTCTCAGTTAAATCTAGTTTTTCGAATTCGTTGTTTGATTTAGTTTTATGAATTTTTTTTCTTTCTTCTTCATATGAATGATTTTTCTCAAAAGGCTTCTTTTTTAATTTTGACATTAAGTCTCCGCTACTGGGTAAGTTTATTAAATTGTTTATAATGTTTTTCTTGGTAGGGATTGTTAAATTGTCGTAATCGCTCTTGAGAGTATTCATGAAACTGGCATTTTTGTTTCCAAATGGACATATAAATGAATTTTGAGTTTTACTGTGGGCTTTAAAGTTGGATTTTTTGTAGAGTGGCATTTCGGTAATTTTATCTAAAAATCAAAATATGTTAGCGTATAATACCGTATAATCGAAAAAAAAAACAGCGTCAAAGACGGCTTTCCAGACACACAAATCTATTTCCAACAAATTATTTCTTCTCGAATTTTCAACTACACCATTTAAAAATAATTTACAACTTTCTTAAGGCCAACTGGCAGTAAGCACCATTAAAAAATAAAGAAGAGTACGGGCCAAGTAAATGATATCCCCGGGCTTGACCTCGCCAAAAGTATCAATTGTCATTTCCCAGCCGTCTTTGACGCCGTTTTTTTCCGATCAAACGGTATCTATATTTAGTTTTTTTAGTTGATGATAGCAACTCAAAAACATCATGTTGTAGTACAAAAGAGGCGCAATGAAAATAAAGTCTCAAAATAAAGGGTTTGGGACACTCTGTACAGGGTGGCTCGAATTCGACGCTCATCATTGGGATTTCGGAAACCGTAAGAGATACAGGATCGGTTAAATGGAGGCAAAGTTGCGCAATTTGAAGCTCAATTAAATTCCGTATTGCATTTTTATTTTTTTTGCATAAAATATTCTGGTGATGGAATCTGGAATATTCTGGTGATGGGGTCCGTATTTGTTGTGTATGTTTTTGTGTTCCGTCCGTTGTGTATGTTTTGCTAAGTGCTCTAACATTTGACTTTCACAAAAATCAAGAAAAAATACGGGAAGGGTGAAAACTACCCCCACTCCTATGTAAATTTTAGTTTACGTATTTTCCAACTCCATTGACGGCCTATTTTATTTTCGTAAAATGGCCCCTCTAGAATTCACTACATTTTTTGTCTCTTGTAAAAAAAACGCTACCGTGCATACTTTTTGACACACCCCTGTATAACCATACAATTTATATTGGTTTTCAAAAGGACAGTATATTATAAAGTAGGTACATTTATCCAATTAAAGTAAAGATAAAAAATAATGTTCTACAGGGTGTTATAGGCCCAATTCTGATTTGGTCCGTAGCTACAGGGGGTTAAATTCTTATTTTTTTTCGATTTATTATAATTTTCTTCCCAGTACTTTTAGCGATTCGAATGAAATTTTGAGTAATATAATATAATAACATAAGAATTTTTGTAAAAGTTGCTATAAGTGCTACATATTTTAGTGCCAAAAAAGCGTCACTGTGATTACCTACTTTTTAGAATGAGAATTTTATGGCAAATAGGTACAAAGAAAGAAAATTACAGCATTGCATTTACCAACTTCAACTTAAGCGTACAATATTTTTGAATTACCCGGTACACCTATATTTTTATTAATAATGACCATAATCTGACCAATTTTTAATCTAAGATCTGACCAAAAAATTTTAGATATAATTTTTGCTGTGTTGTTTTCACAATATCTTTAGCGCGTTTATAGTAATGTCGTTAACAGAAAAAAACTTACCAACCGCGCGGCGGTTCACAAATAAATTAATCAAAGTTTAAATTTAATTTCTAATATCAATTGCAAAGAAAACTCAATTAACAACTTCTAAAAACTGTTCTTGTTCGCTTTTCAATTTCAATTTATTCATTTGTTTTAGTGGCGCGGAAATTGAAAGATGCGCTGACTAAATTGATTTTAAAATCTTACAGAAAATGCTATTTACATATAAATTCTATTAATACATTTATTATATATTGATAATGACTTTCCCCTAAGTAAATTTATAAAATGCGGTTACATTATTTATTATTAATTAATTTAAAAATAGTTATAAAAAAAATCCGGAAATGCAGTAAGAAGAGCTCGCCTATTTCCGGCCGTAATCGTGTCAATTCGCGCGATTATTAAAATGGCGTCCGTTTACAAGCGCCAACGATTTGTAGTCGAACAGTGAGAGTACATCGTGCTAGTCGAACCTGAGATTTTAATCGTATTTTGTCAGCGGATTTTTAAGTGAGAGACTTCTGAAAAGTGTCCAAAGTGATGGAGTGAACGTCAAAGAATTCAAAAAAGGTAAAATTATAACATTTCATGGGATATAACAGGATAAATTTCAGTTTGAAAATATTAATTTTACAGACTCCGCAATCCGCATTGGTTTACGTTGTTGCCATGTCGGACAAGGAGTATTTCATGTTGCTGGACAATCTCTACATTATCTTTTCTATTTTTTTTTCTCATGTGTTTTCTGCGGTTTTAACGATGTATGTTTACTTTTGTAATTATAAATATGTGTCTGGAACGATTATATACAACTCTTGCTGTAGTTGTACACTAATTTTAACTTCTTATCTCCTACATAATAATATAACTTTATGGAGTTTTACATTAAATATTATGTTGAATTGTTGAGTAATAATTTGTCATGTATATTTTTCTTGTTCTTTCATCGCTATTTTAACGATATACACTTTCTTTATTGTATTTAATTCTAGGATTTGTATACTAGTTCTAACATTTTATCTCTACTAAATAACCTTTTGTGTAGTTGTTTGCCACATATGCTAATTTATTGAGTAATAATTCATCACGTTTGGATTTATTGTTACCATTCTATTAATTCAAAGCAGAAGTTGCACAAAAGAGGGAATTTATTTCGGCGGTAATTTTGAAGCTGGTTTGACCAATCCGACATCGTCGCTTTTATTATCATTTTGCCCTACTTTTTATCCCCCACTGGGGTATTCTTATTGGTGGGGGTTAATATCCAAAATTGGAGAAGGAAATGCAGCAGGAAAATGACACGAAAAAAGGCTGTTTCCCTAAACTTTCGCGTCTTTGTCTTTCTATTTAGACTTATTCGTGGGAGTTAATAGTTGTCAGCATTTGATTTTTAATTACTTAATAAAGAGAAATAGACAAATTAAGTAACTAAAAAATGCGAGATAAAATGTACCTATAAATCCTAATTCAACGTCAGCGATATTTAAGTAAAAAAGTATTGGGTTTTATACGATGTTAGATATTGACTTAACAAGGATTAAAGAATAAGTTTATTTTATTTATGATAATATACCTACATAATACAGCGTTAGTCAAACTTTCTTCGCATCAAAAAATTTTGCACTAATGTGTGTTAAGTACTTAATTATTTAAAATATGTTTTTTTTATAATTTATACCTACTGCAGTGTTTAAAGTGCAAATACTGAAATATTGCTATTTGTCAACTAAATTTTATGCTTATGGTGTCTCATTTATGAGTAGAGGTAGAAAGATGCGGTTTTCACACTACTCACTACTGTGCTGTGCTACATTTTTTAAACTAAAGCTCTATCCTTTGAATAAGAAGACCAAGAAGACTAAGGAAGGAGCATAATGCTATCCATGTATTCATGCATGGTGGGCGGAAAAAGCGCCATAAAAGCACTCTAGGGTGGGGATCCTTGACAGTTCTGTTTGACGATTCATTTGACACATTTGAATTTGATTTGAAATTTTGTGGATTTGTCAGTCTTTACGGAGCTTATTTTATGTTATTTATTATTTATTCTACTACTGATAGTTGTTTAAAGGTAGTAAATCTAAAAGGAAATTGTGGCAGAACTTAAATTAACTGTGACACTATTGCTATTTGTTTTGGTTGTGTAGCGTGCGGTAGATCTCGGCAAAAATTGAGTGAAATAATGGAACAACTTTTCGCTAGTAAGTGACTATATAATATACATACGTGTAGTAAACCGATCATTTATGAAATTCACTTAAATTAACTAAATTATATATTTTTCTTGCATTTTAGCTTTTATTTATTACTTGTCAAAGATTAGATGTCAAAGAATTTAGATACGTTAATTTGACTTACCTGCTTCAGTAGCGTATCGGATGTTTGTGGTAATAAATACTTATTATAACTTATCTATTTTTATTAGAATTATATATTTTTATAACAATTTTAATAACTACCAACATTTATTCACAACGTAAAATAAAACAACAAATTATTGAGTCTACCCTACGTCTACCCTACATCATAGTTTTACATTTTTTAAATAAAATTAGAACGACACTGATAAACCGGAATTTAAGTCGGCCATATTTGAGGCCCATCGCGGTGTACCTAAGATTTTTGATATGCTCCTTCCTTGCTCTATCAAAGGCTCTATACACAGATTTGTCTGTGAAACTTTTGAGTTCCGTCTATGGTTCCGTCGAGTTTTTGACGTAGAATCCAGTGGCGCAACTAGTTTTTCGTTGAGCGCTGTCATTTACGAAAGAGTCATATTTCGTATTAATTTAATTATATCGTAATGGTTAATCGTTATCGTTAATTAAATATCGTAATTTATGTTTTTTTTAAACGGAACACCCTATATATTATTTTTTAATTTCCTTTGTCTTATTATGAGCTTATAAAAAACTTTTTTTACTTTTACTTTCTCTTTCACCAGAATTAACAAAAATTTAACGGAGTTATTTGACCACAACTTTTGATTTTTAAATGGCACCCTTGGTATATTTCTACTTTGTTCCATAGAAAATGACACTCTGAATAGAATGACATATTTATCATATATGTCAACTCTTGACATATTCGAATATGGTTTATTTGAAATTGTAACATACGGTTCATAACGACAATTTGACTCGAAATATCAAGTATGCGGGGCCAAATTATTGGTAAAAATGCTTTTTCCAAATATGCTAATAAGCCACCCTTGTTCCGTTTGAAAAAAATGAGATATGATTAAAAATGCGATTTGAGCATCTTTTAACCGGTCAGGACAATACACGAAAAACATTAGACGATCAAAACTATTTTTTTTATTTTGCCAAGGCTCCTTGATTAAAAATTAGTGTTTTTAACAGAGCCACGGCACTATAGATGGAAATTTAAAATACGATTTGTTTTTAAGCGAAAATGTCAAAAGTTGACATATGATATTATGTCATTCTATTCAGAGTGTCATTTTCTGTCGAATAAAGTAGAAATATACTGAAGGTGACATTTAAAAATGAATAGTTGTAGTCATTTCCGGCGAAACAGGAAGTAACAAAAAACAATTGAATACGTCAATCAATCCTAATTTTTGTCATACACTAACATACCAAATCTCGTTTTTTTTACAAAAATAAAGTTATTGGGGTGACCCAGTTTCGAGACGCACCCGGTACACTTATTTTCACAGATAAGGTATTAAAATGCATTTATTTAATTTTTTAACATAGGCGGCCGGTTTAAATTAGGTAATCAAAACAATCGAATAACTTATTCGACGTCAAATTTGGTTATTGACTATTCCATGCTAGTTTCTGTGTGTCGAATTAGTGCACAAGTGCATCAAAATCAAAAATGCATTTTTAGCCGACCATACCAACAGGTATGGTAGGCTATTAAGATCGGCAAAAAAAGTTTTTTTAATTTCACTCAAAATGAGTTATTTGGGTCATAAATGACCTAAATACAAAATATCGTCCCATTGCAGCCAAAAGTCACTAACTTACTTTTTATTACTTCCGAGAAAAACGCGTCTAAAGATGAATAACTGCATTGCATAAAGATGTTATAGTTAGTAACTATTCGGTTGTATTAAAATATAAAACATAGAAAACATAGCCAGAAATCGTAGTTAATTACTTTCTCAATCGATTCTCCGCTTCAAAATATAGTTAGTGATTGAATTTTCAGGTTGTTCGAAAAATGTTAGTGACTTTTGGCAGCAATAGGACGATATTTTCATGGTGTCTGTCTGTCTGTCCGTCCGTCTGTAACACGATAACTCAAAAACCGCTAAACCGATTTTAACCACATAATTTGGCACAAAAATACTGTGGTACCCGAGAATCTGGCTATTAGTTTTTGGTGGAGGTGGGGGGTTGGTAAGGGGGTATGGGAGGGGGTTAAAATTTAAAAAAATCGTAACTCCAAAATTATAGTAGCTAGCGAAACGCGGTTTTCAATTTAAGATTAGGAATAATATTTGCAACAAAATTTGTAATAACATCAAAATCAGTCAAAGTCGCAGTTTTTGAGATATTCCATGTTTCCGTAGTCCGTTTTTGAGAAAATCCGTGTGGAGAACTCCAAACTCTCCCATCGGACGCGACCCCAGGTGGCGGATAGGGGAAATAACTGCGGACCAAAATTGGAAAAATTTCTTTACTTTGAAACTAAAAGAACTGCCTACCAACTTTTTATTAACATATTTTAGTATGGGCGGCTATTTACGTGCCTCCCGACGCCAATTTTTTTTACCTTGTTTATGAAAATAAGTATCTATAGAATAAATTATATTTTTAGAAAGCTAATGACAAGGAAAATATAAAATAACAAGTTTTTAAATTTAAAAAAAAAACATGTTTGAGTCATATTTCGGAAATGACAGCTCCCAGCGAAAAACTGGTTACGCCACTGGTTTCTACGTAAATTACTCTACGAGGCTGTCAGTTTTCGCTTTTTTTTAATTTAAAAGATAACCGATGAATTTCACCCTGTATTTCAGGAACTTGAGGGCTAGGACAAATCTATGCGTAGCATCTTCAGTTTCATAAAAAACTAGCACAGTGATGTGAAAACCGCATCTTTGTACCTCTACTCATAAGCGAGAAACCCCACACGAAAATGGGACACCCTGTTCAGTACAACCTACGACATTTTTAGATCATGGTATAAATTTAATCTTGAAGTGAAATCATAATATTCCTGTTGAAACATGTTAGAATATGAGTACCTGCCTATACTCGTAATTATTATAAGTATGTTTTAATTTTTTAATGAAATTTTAATGTAAAAATCACGTCAATCAAATGAAATAATGTATTTAAACGCGGTAAAAGACGTCAATAGGTATGTGTATCTATCTAGTAACTAATAAATTACATAGTGAAGAAACAGACGTCTGTAGAGTTAATTACTTTTTTACCTACTAAGTGGCTCTACTAAGTTACCTAATTTACTTTTTGAAAAAAAAAATTTAATTTATCTTGAACTCGTTATTTGGTAAATTTTATATACATTATTTTTCAACATTTTGGTTATTACAGATCCAGTTATTTTTACATGTTTAAAGATCAAAA